AGCCAAATCAAATTCAGCTTTTATTATTAATTGATAACAACCAGGGATCAGGTGAAAGTGAGTAAACTTTAGAACATGCATAACATTTTAACTCGGTATCAGTCATTTAAACTAAACTACATGTACAACCAGTCGATACATTAACATGTACATGGCATGCACACAGTGGCGGATCTGGGTGCAAGTTAATGGTAGGGCCAGGAAGTGGGTGTGTCCACTTTTCAACCAGTTATTTTATGGTTATGCATCTTTTGGCCATTTTTATGATGGGTTTCAACAATTTCTTCATCTATGCAGTGCTTAGAATGCTCTTCAAGCACTTGTAAGTACTCTGGTGTGGCTTTTGGTTGGCTTTATCAAACTTGAGGCAGGGAATTGTTTACATTGCATCTAATGAATCTAATTACTGACTTCTGATGCCCGGGCCATGGCCCGTCTAGGCCCGGGCCCAGATCCGCCACTGCATGCACATACATGTAGTTACATGCACCACTTACTAGTTTACTGTCACCTAGAGCATGATGAATTCATGCAATAACTCTATTATATAGGCGGTAGCCTATATGTAGGGTTGAGGTTGATTTTTCAAGATGGCGACCAAATTTATAATTTTCAAATGATTATAACTCTTCTATCTTACGTTGTACAGCTTTATAAATGGCTTAGATGAGCTCTCCTTCACTGAGCGATTCTCCTGGTACCTTTAAAGTGGACTGTAATGTAGCGGAAGGATCTCTGTATAATAGGCCCAAATTCAAATTTCTGCAAAATTCTTCAGACTTTTTCTTCTTCTTCTTTCATCTTCTATGCACCGGATAATCTTTTAAACTAGAAAACAGCTCAAGTTGACTTTCACATCATTCCTTGGAGCGTGAGTCAAGGACTACAAAGGTGCTTTCCATATCTTAATTCATATTAGATTATAAACTAGTTATTTGGGCGTGATATCACCTCCCCTTAAAATTAGTCGCCATTTTGAAACTTAATGCGCATGCTCAGAGTTGCTATAGTGACTGAATGACTGCACTGTGTGAATTCGCTCTATTCTTCTCTTTCTCTGCATACTTGTTTGTTCAGCAGTGCGCAGACTAAGTGATTAACAGTTCTTTTAAGAGCTAATAGGTAAATTATTTTGAAATAACTGTAACAAATTAGGCTTCTTTTATCATAGAGCGAAATATAATCTTACAGAGCCGTCAGAGCGCAAGATAATTTACAGCTGCTCAGTTTTGATAATTTTGGACACCTGTACCTAAGCCAGATCACTAGAGTTCAGTGTATTTCATTATACTTCTGATATTGGATATATTGAGATAAGTCTATACAGTTATTTTTAAAATGATAAGCAGTAGTTTACTTGTACCTCCTGCATATATGTACTTGGTATTATGGTATTTATTTGTTGTGTTAATGTTAAGTGTAGTTGTGGTGCTGTTAGTTGTAAAAAAAGGAAGTAGGAAAAGGAAAAGTGACTTAACTGGGGCTAAATCCAAAAAAAAGTTCTCCAAGATATATGATAATAGAAAGGAAATGGAAACTTTTATATCTAAAAACAGGTCCTATGCTAGAGCTTACTACATAAGGCATTGAAAGAGGGTCAAAAGCAAAGCCAGAGTTGCCTATAAGATAAGTAAAAAATATAAGCTTGGGTATTCAAAAAAATTTCATGCATTCAACCCAGGTTACATTTTGCAAAAATGTAAAAATTGGTATAGTAAAAACAAGGACTGCAAAATTTTAAAATCAACTTGCTATTCTAAAACAAATTATAGGAGTAATCCAGACCAAAAAAAAGAAGCCTCTAGAAATCATTATCAAAAAAATCCACAACCAAAAAAAGAAGCCTCTAGAGATCAGTATCATAAGAATCCACAACCAAAGAAAGAAGCCTCTAGAGATCAGTATCATAAGAATCCACAACCAAAGAAAGAAGCCTCTAGAGATCAGTATCATAAGAATCCACAACCAAAGAAAGAAGCCTCTAGAGATCAGTATCATAAGAATCCACAACCAAAGAAAGAAGCCTCTAGGAATCATTATCAAAACAATCCGAACCCCCAAAAAAGTAAATCAAAGGAACGCTATCATAAAAATTCGGGCCTTCAAAAACAAAACTCCTTAAAACGGTATTACATGAATAGAGACGCAATATTATGTGCTACAAAAGATAAATTTCTGAGATATAAATTTTCTGATAATGAAATGGATAAGTTAAAGGTGGCACTGATCAAGGAAAATAAAAGGCGTCTAAATAAAGATTATTACGAACGTAATTATAGTCACATATTGTATAGATTACGCTCAAATTACTCATTACCTGCACCAAATAGTGAAGCAAAGGAATATTATTTTATAAAAATTAAAGAAACATTATATTACAGCCCCGAAATAGTTGTTGATTTATTGCCATCAAGTATGAAAGGTATAGATTTTGAGAACACATCATATGACAGTAAATGTAATGCTGCATCAAGTATATTGTTAGAATCAGTTTTGAAAAACAGATCTCACAAAGTAGGCGTATTGATACGTGCAGCAAATAGCATTAGGAAATTGAAGTTGAATAGCTTTAGTGATTTTGGTCAGCAATGTCACACAAAGAATAGTGAGCCTTATTTTTATGAATCAGCATATTTGTATCCTAATGATGATTTTGATAGCCAATTAGATAGTCCAATTGCAATCCCTGTTGATACAAATGGCATCTGTTACGTAGCAGGGGTTGTTGATGTATCATGTATTGATAGAGTAGAAGAATGTAATGATGATAGTGACTCTGAAGATGACAATTTTGTTGATAATAATAGAATATATACTTATAAGAGAAAGCCTACCCTCAAATGGCACTGTACAGACAGGTGCAAGCCTTTATTAGAAAGTGATGTTAGTTCTATTATTGAAGTTAGACGATATTTTGATGAACCCATTAAAGAATTGAGGAAGCATTTAGATGCATGTGATAATTGTCCTAATAATTATTATATGACAAGATCCCTGCATGTTGAAGAAATAGATCAAGTACATGAACATGATTTCTCTGATAATCCTAATGTAACGGTAATTGTTAAAAAAGATGAAAATAATGTTGAAAAATATTTAAAATATTCAGAAATTGTTTGTGAAAGGATAGGCCATCCTATTGTGTGTAGTAGTAATGATACTGAATGTAAAAGCATGCTGCGTATTTTACGCAATGCATCTGTTCATTATCCTTCATTGAGACGCCTTTTGAAACACTTTTATGTTGCTAGAAATGCCCATTTAACAATAGATATTATTGACTCTTCCCTTGCTGATGGTGATATAGCACAATTGATAGATTTAAAAATTAATGAAGCCGATGAGACTGAATTTGATAATGTGTATTACGCTATAAATGATGGTGAAGAAGATGACCCATTTAGAATACCAAACTTAGATACTGTACTTTATTTTCAGTATTCAGATGCTATTGATGAATTTAAGAAAGCTTTGTCTGATCAGGCTGTTAATGCTTGTTGCAGCTGTGAGAGGCTTTTAAGAAAAAAGTCTGTCACTGAAGCTAAAAATTTAGATAGCGATGTTTGGAATATCCTATTAGATTACATTAGAGAGACTGATCCTACGGCATTAAATAAAGTTATGTATATTTGTAATCATTGTAAACCTATTATTAGGAAAAATGAAGTTCCAGCACGTTGTTTGCTCAATGGGTTAAAGTGTGAGCCACTACCCAAAGAGTTAGAAAATTTGGATCCTTTAAGTTGCCAGTTAATACAGAGAGCCAAGTGTTTTCAGACAATTGTTAGGCTAGGCACACACACCTTAAAAGTGCCTGCCTATAATTCTTTGAAGGCTCTGAAAGGTGCAATGTTTTATTTACCTCTTCCATTAGAGAAAACAATGGAAACTTTAAATGAGGTTGGTATAGATTCTAATCATTTGCCTAATCCAGAACTTTATATTATTATTAATAAACAGCCTACTAAATCAAATAATGTCTGGCGTAGTTTAGTTGATGTAAATAAAATAAAAGCAGCACTAAGAAAATTAAAAGATATAAATTGGCTTTATAGAAACGTAGATGATGATTCCATCGACGAATCGTCTAAAAATGTTATACAAGTAGTTAGCAATACTACTTGTAAAATGCTTGAAAAAGCAAATGATCAAGATTTAGAAGGCCTTTTGGCATATACGATTAGAAATCTTGATAGTAAAATTGCAACAGGTTCTGATATCAGTCAATATAAATTAATGAATGTAAAAGAAGCGCCTACAGACAATAGGCAAGAGCATCTTGATTTGTTATGCTTTCCTACTTTATTACCTACTGGACAATATGGAGAGCATCATCCCAGACAAAGCTATCCAGCACAGACTTTATCATTTAGTGAATACATAAAATCAAGACTTTTAAACAAAGATTCCAGATTTCGTAGAAATCATTCATATTGTTTGCACTATTATGGATTAAAAATTAACAAGGCCTTAAAAACTGGCATATATAATTTATTAAAAACATCAAGGGGCAATGTTGGTCAAACTGTTGCTGAAATATTAGAAAAAATAAATGTTTTAGATGAAGAATTTGAGGGCAATTTAAGTACCATATTGGCTCCAATACGGGGCACAAATCAATATTGGTTCCGTGTGAAAGGTGAAGTCAAAGCAATGATTGCTGAGTATGGCTCACCAATGCTTTTCCTTACATTAAGTTGTGCTGAATATGATTCAGCTGATATAGCGCAATATTTAAGAAAAGTAAATAATGCACCACAATCATATAGTATTTCTAGATTATGTACTGAGGACCCTGTTTCAGTATCGCGACAATTTTCATACAAATTTAAGGATTTCTTTAACATAGTCATTCTCCAGAGAGGTGTTCTAGGCAAAGTAGAGCAATATTATGTTAAAAAAGAATATCAAATGCGTGGAGCGCCTCATTATCACATCCTCCTATGGATTGAATATGCTCCTGTTGTCGGTATTGATTGTCCAGAAGAAGTCTGTTCTTTCATACAAGATAGAATTACCTGTCATATACCAGATAGTAATACGTCGCCTGATTTAAATTTTTTGGTAACAAAATACCAAATGCACAAGTGCAGCAAATACTGCAAGCGAAATATTAAAGTCGGCAAGACCTATGTATCTAGATGCCGATTTGATTTTCCTAGACCAGTAAGAGATAGTATTTGCATCAATGATGTTGAAAATAGCTTGAAATCATGCAATAGGATATATTATCTCAAACGAAATGAAAAAGAAGTTCGAGTCAATGACTACAACCCTTTACTGTTGAAATTGTGGCGTGCAAATATGGACTTGCAATACATAGCAGAAAGGAGTCTTTCCTTAACAGAGTATGTAACTGGATATGTCACTAAAGCAGAAAAGAGTCATGCACAGGACTTATGGGATGAAGTCAGCAGCTGTGACAACATATACAGCAGGCTTTGGAAAATCGGACAAAAATTACTTCGAGCTAAAGAAGTAGGACTATATGAAGCAAGCGATCTTCTTCTTGGTGAAAGTTTATACATGAAATCAGTAACCGTACAGTACGTTAATGTGTACTTGCCTCATAAGAGGAGCAGACAAATCAAAAACTATTCATATTTAACTAAAATGGATCGATCTTCAAAAGACATCTTTAATCCTAGCATAATTGAAGACTTTTATCCAACAAGACCAAATAACATGGAAGATGTATCTCTTTATGAATTTGTTGCCAATTACAAATTTGATAAAATAGGAGAAAATGGAGAAAGAGAATACAAACTTCGATCAAAGCCAGTCCTCCCAAACCATAGGAAATTTATTCCTATGCAAGAAGCAGAAAGAGACGATTTTTATTACTCGCTAATATTTTTATTTGTGCCTTTTAGAGACGAGAGCACACTTGTAATGGAAGGAGAAACAATGGAAGAAGCTTTTAGGCGTCACAGAGAAGCATCTATACGTGGCATTGAAAATCATTTCAACAAACTACAGAAATTATTAGAAGCTGAACGTAATTGGAAGAAAATAGTCGATGCAAGAAATAAAGCCGGTTTCACTGAAGAAGAACTTCCTGATAACAAGGAAGATGATGAGCCTCAATTACTAGGTGAAATAATGGAAGCAGTAGCTGATATTGCTGACATGCACATAAATGTACCTAATTTAACATTAGAGCAAAGAGAGACAATGCTTAATGTAGATCAAAAAAGAATTTTTGATAAAATTAAGAGTCATCTTATAAGTCAAAAAGAACGTGAAGACTTATTAGAGAATGAGTCTTCAAGACTACTTAGATTAGATAATATCAAACCGCTAAGAATGTTTATTAGTGGTGTAGGTGGAACTGGTAAATCGTTTTTGATAGAGGCAATAAAATGCCTAGTGGATGACATATGGCATCCAAAAAGTGGTGAAATCATGTGTGCTATAGTAGCACCAACAGGTATAGCCGCATTTAATGTAGGTGGACTAACAATACATAGATTATTTCAGCTACCAATAGAGCATGAGGGAAAGACAGCTGGATATTGGGCTTTGAGTAAAGAAGCTCAGAAAAGAATAAAAATGACACTTAAAAATTTAAAAATTATAATAGTAGATGAGGTATCTATGGTATCCAATCTAAATCTAGCATACTTACACATGCGCTTAGAAGATATATTTGGAACTGATGAATGGTTTGGATCCAAAAATATTTTATTTGTAGGTGACCTCTTACAACTACCACCAGTTAATGGTAGACCAGTATTTAAAAAAATTAGCAACAAACTAGTAAAAACTAGACTTGGAGCAGCAAATGCAGTTAACATATGGAAAGAAACAGTAGAATATGATGAACTAACAATCAATGAGCGACAAAAAGGAGACGAAACTTTCTTTAAGATGCTTGATTCTGTTAGGCATGGCAGTCTGACTGATGAAACTATTGATACGCTTAAGAGTCGCATATTTAAGGTTTCGATACAAGAAAAATATAAGGAATTGGAAAGTGAAGGAACAAATCCTCCAATTTGTCTATTTTCTAAGGTAGACGCCTGCCAAAAAATCAATGAATTAATGTTAGAAAGTCTAGAAACTGAGAAAATAGAATTAGCATGTGTTGATGTTGTTGATGAAAGCGGCAGCACAGCAAAATTTGACAAAAAACAAGAAAAAAAATTAGAGAAACTAAAAGATCAACCAAGCAAAACAGCTGGTTTAGAAACTGTATTGTCTTTAGCAGTAGGCTGTAGAGTAATGCTAAGGCATAATATTGATGTGACTGTAGGATTAGTTAATGGTGCCATTGGTACAGTAATGGGTATTTATGCTACACGTATATCAATCAAATTTGATCATATTGATGTACCTTGTGACATAGAAAGGGTTACATCTAGATTTATGCTATCTAAGAATTTGTATATACATAGGAAACAGTTTCCCCTTACACTTTCTTATGCTATTACTATACATAAATGTCAGGGCCTCTCACTAGATACAGCCATTATTGATTTATCTACTGATGTTTTTGGGGATGGTATGGCATATGTTGCATTGTCTCGTGTACGCACATTAAATGGATTACATTTATTATCATTTGATCCTCTCTCTGTTAAAGTTAGTAATCTGTGCATTAATGAAATTAACAGGCTGAGAAGTAAATTTCGAAAAGACTTACCTCAAATCAAGAAAAGTAAAGGAAAGAAGAGAAAGATTCAAGTGACTGGTATAATTGATGATGGTGAACCTTGTAGTAAGAATGCCAAGGTGTCTGTAAGTCATGTACAAAGTACTAGTAACAGTACCGTTAGTAGCAATAAACGTAAGAGTACTGATTTACAAAAATCTAATCGCCTTGCACCAAATAAGCCTTGCACCAAATAAGCCTTGCACCAAAAAAAGAAAAGTTGATGTAGACAGTAGTGCTGACAATAGTGCTTTGGCATTGCCTCGCCCAAAAACAGATGATAAATTAATTGTTTCAATTAATTTGAAAGACCTAAAAACCAAATTTAATGTCAAAGATGAGGATAGTTGTAGTAGTCTCATTGTATCTATAAAACTCTCAAACATTAAATGTAAACCAAAAGATGATAAAACCATGTGTGTTGTAAAAAATGACCATTGTAGTAGTGGTCTGATTGTATCTATAAAACTCTCAAGCATTAAATTAAAGACAAGTAATCCAATAAAAGATGATGATGTCATCTTTACTTATGAAGAGCCTCCCAATCCAGATAATGTAAGGAGGAGACAAAGGGATTATGTTTATTACCCTGCTAATGAAGAAGTTCAAAGAAGGTGGTGTGACATATTGAACCTTAAGTTTGTAGCAGCTGCTAGAATCTTACCTGGCAGTCCAACAACACCATTGTCAGATGAAAGAGTTCCTAATAGTACTCTTGATGTCCCTGGTGATGGGAACTGTTTATTTTATGCCCTTTCATATCTCATTACTGGGTCCATTTCTCAGCATTATGAATTACGTAGAGCAATTGTCAGTAATATGCCAAACTTTGAAGAAGAATTGTTTAATAGTACATTAAGTGCAACCAGATATTCAAGCATATATGATTACATAAATAAGTCAAAAATGTATAGAAATTATGTGTGGGCCACTGACACAGAGATTATTACACTAACAGCATTATTAGGTATAACCATATATTCATATTCACTCACTCCTACTTTTGTTGGCTGGGCTAGATATGGAACCCAGGAGTTGTATGGCATTCCTTGTGATACTACTACACCTGCTTTGTATTTGAAGCATGTTGGTACTAATCATTTCCAAGCAGTTAAGTCTATTAATATTTCTTAAGCATTGATTGTTGATGGAAAGTGGGTATGGTGAATGGGAGGTCCATCATCTTTAAAACATTGGTTGTTTAATGTGACTTTTATTTCACTGCATGTGCAATGTGAGTGTGTGTGAAAACCAGGTGCATATCCACCCATTATTGCTCAGTATAAAGTGATCAAACTGCATTCAGGATGTGAGATTAATCAATGTATAACAGTGAATATTGAGTACTTGTTGCTATAATGGACAGGGAGAGGGTGTGAAAGAGGTTTACTGGTCATTAGAGTTTAGCATTGATTCAATTTTGTG